TTTTTGTATGTTACATACTTCGATGAATGTATTCGGAAGACTCTAAGATAAACTGTTCATTTTGGAACAGCTTATCTTCAAACTTTGTTTCCACGAAAACAAACGCGATAAAATATACCATTTCATAATAGTGAATCATTCTTTCTCAGATCATTTTCTACATAGGAACATGCTGGATAAAGTAAAGTGATACAATGGAATCAAAAATTCGAAGAGTTTATTATGTGAAAATATACTAAGAAAAGAAAAATAAACGTATAGCGGTACATTATGCAAAACGATCGATAAAATGATTTTCAAGCTGCGAAAATAATAAAGCAGCAACTTGGAAATTTCATATTTTAAGTGTTTTCAATATAGAAAATTGATCTGGATACTTCTACTGTCTTCTTGTTTATCAATCCATGTTACTTTAAATTTTTAAATAAAGTCTCATGAAGAATTATAGTTTTTCTAAGGCATTTTCTAAAGAAATAACCGAGAAATCATTAAGATCTTGCAGAATTTAAGCGCATTATTATGTTAGGAGCTTTCTAGCTGCTAATTAAAAATGTTTTCTTTCGTTTTTTTTGCTTCCGTTACATCTATACTCATCAATAGTCAATTCATCACTAATTAATAGTAAAGCATAACCTTTTCATGAATAAACAATCAAGATTTTTCGTCTTTTACAACTTTTCCTACGAATGAGATACAATTTTCTAGGCTTTGATTCAGAATTATTTTTTTATCTTTAGATAACTACATATTTATTGTAGTCTCCATTGATCTATTTATTATTACAATTGCTTATATACGAACGATCAGTGAAAAACGTTATTTTTCTCTCTCTCTGTTTTAATGTTCATTTCGAACAACGAGCACCGATCGATAAGGAAAAACAGAAAAAATTCGATTCATTTGAAATGAAGATGATCTATTATTTAGTAACATGTAATCCATTTTTTGATTTAACGTTTTTAGTACGGTCTATTTCTTCTTCCATATCTTTCGGAGTTAAATGAACACGACTGCAAATTTTTTTCAATTTATTCACAATAACATCAAGTATTAGATCTCATAAGTAAATTTCATGTTTCACAAGTAATATCTAACACCTACTAAAATGTCAACTATAGAGATTATAGCAGTTCACTGAAAAGTAGAGAAGTCTGTCGAATGTTCTGCTTAAAAAACTCATACAAACAGTTCTATAGAGGGTATGTTGAATAAGATAAAATTGTTGTAAAAAGAAGACATCAAACTAAGAAACTTGAAATATACAGTTCTGTTGTCATATCTAGGCTAAGATACTCAAATTTTAGGATTTTCACACTATAGCTAAAAGTATTCACAAATCAAAATGTTAGAAGTTTTTTTCTTTTTTGTCATGATCGAATGTAGTTCATTGAGGTACACGAGAAGAAGCAATCTTTCAAATGCAAAATAGTTACCAATATTAAAATTCTAGACTTCTCTCTTAAGATATCTGAAAACAATGTTATCTTGGTCTTCTTCATAAAATGTTGGGTTTTTGCATTTGAAATATACTTTTTTTTATGTAACTTGGCGAGCTCTACTCAAGTCTAAGAAAACTAGAAAAAAATTCTACTAAAGTTTTGATTTGTGAGTATTTAATATACGGTGTAAAAATCCTGAAATTCAAGTATCTTGATTTAAGCATGACAACAGAACCCTATCATTTTATTTTCTTAGCTTAATGCTAACCTTATTAACTAAGAATAGAAACACTTCTATCACTGGTCAAAAATTCGAAAACTAACTATTTTAATTCCTCATATGAAAATCTTTTCGGCATATGATAAAGTTATGTGTTAGACTTTTCCCACATCTTGTGCTTGAATCATAGCTCTCTGAGATTAGACGTTGAATATTATTTGTTTTTTTTGTTATCAATGATTGATCTATAACTTATTTTATTATTCTATTGATTATTTTTCGATTTAAAGTTTCCATAGAAATTCTTTCCATCAATCATGATCTGAAGAGATTGTCAAAAAAATCTTGTTTAATTATGTTCCTAGAGATTGTTGTTAGTGAATTACAATATGAACTCAGTCGAATTGGTCTTGTTACACAATCATTCTCAACTTTTATCGAATAACAGGATATGATAAATGATCACAAGAGAGAGAGTAATGCTAGTGCATTTTGAGAGTCGATTTCGCTTCACTTTTCAGCATCAGTTTCTAGCCATCTATTTTTGTTTGTCTATATCTGTATGTATTCACACCATAGATATTCACTCATTTCGATCTGCTCTGTATATTCCCATACGTATAGATACGATTTTCATCGTCAAACCATTTAATAAAAGGGACAGGCACAGCCAAAGTCCGAAGATTTTTGTTACAATCATTTACAAGAATATCGTCAAACACTCATTAATCTATGATTTATACAGGAAGTGAACTTATTGGAGGAAGAATCGATTCAGAAAATTAAAGAAAGTAGCAGAAGAATGTAGATAAATATTGCTTGAATAGCATATGCAACATTTTAGTGAAATGAAAAATATATTATCTCAATTAACTGATGAGTTACAGAAGATTCGTGAAGAAAATGAATTTGATGAAATCAATATAGATCGCTCAGGAAAAGAAATGAAATCAAACGAAGTTAACAGACGATTCAAATCCAATTGATTCTGCATATTTAGTAAACATCAGTTGCATCCATTTATTGTCTAGTAAGTGTAGTTATGACATATAAATTGGTACATTAGTTTTGCTACAAGAACACGAAACTTTTTCAGGAGACTTGACTAAAAACTCACTATAGAGAGCTACTGTGTTTTTATTCATCAACATTACAAAATCATATAGTATTAGTAATCTTTGACTAAAGAGATCATGTATTAACGTTACGATGATTTCATTCGAATTTTTCGCAATAAAGTCTTTTTGAAAAATAAATTTTACTAGTTGATTTATTATTTTGACCTAAGATTACTTATATATGTTCTAACTTGCTAGAAAATAACTCGTTATCAATCGCATAAATGTAGAATATTATATAAACATTATTAGAACTGAAAGAGCAGTTATTGCTCACATATGAATCCTCATTTTACACATAAATATTAAGGATTATTATTGATTGAATTTGAACAAAATATGTTTCGAATATTCTTTACTACTTATACTTTTCCATATATCTGTTTGCTGGCAAACATTTGAAGCAAGGATTGAAATCTAATTTGATTGTATGACTTTTCTTACAAGCAAGAGTCGTAAGAAATTAGCTTTACTACAGTTGAGTGACTCTAATACCTATAAACTACAGCATGATAAATCAAAAAGTTTGTTTCTCCTTAAGTCTACTTTCACTAAGATCATCAAACATTAACAGATATCTCTGTAGGTCTGAGTGAGTCCCAATAGAATTATTTAGATGACTTTGGCTTGACTCTGACAGAAAAATCACATGATACGTATTCGATAGCATAAGTCGAATCATTCATATCACTTGTTCACAACGGTCGTAATTAATTCTTTTCGAGAAACACTCATCAATATCATTCGTATCTCGTCAATGCATAGTTTTCTTCCTTATTATATAAATGGTGACAAAATCGATTTTTTAAGAGCTTGTTTGAACCGCTGTGCTGCGCAAGTGCCAGTGAGGTATGCATCTAAGAGTAAACTCGCACCCCTATTCATGTCAATACTGTTAGTAATGACACACAAGCGATTTTAAATTTCCTTCTGTCATATCAATCATTAGGAACACAGTAATGATAATGTTAATGCACACTTCAGTTGCAAAATTGCCATCGACTGGAGTTTCTATTAGTATAATTTTGCTGTTTATAAGGATCAAATAAAATTTTCTATTTTTTCGGAGACAATACAGTGATAGTTATGTGTTTTGATAGAGTGAGGATAATCGTTTGTTAAGTGTGTAGTTGAGATGCTTAAATATTTGAAAATTTATCAATATTTTAAAAAATTATGGCATATTCAATGAAATTGTTCGCCTGAGCTTTAAAGAAAATGACACTAGTAGTAAGACTGACCAAATGAGTCAAGAATTTTCTGAGCTACACGATGAACCTGATGGAATTGATAATGAACGTTATGTTACTTTGAGTTCAGATGTTGAGAATCGTAGTATTGAGTTATTATCGTCAAACAACAGAAACTATGTACAAATTAAAACAACAAAGTTATAGAATGCCTCGAGGAAAACAAAAAAAATTGTTATGATCTACATGGAACAATGCAATGTTTATTGGAAAGCGAATCAGTTCAGCTGCTCACCGTAAGATAAAACTAAATAAATATGAAAAATTTGCTTGTATTTGTCTTCAAGATACACGAGGTAAAAATAACCAACACAGTACTCATTTGGTGTCGTCGTCAAATAATTGCAAATCATCGGTGTCTGACGAGTCTCGTACGAGTACAACGTTTCATAAATCATCATCTATATTTCTACATTGAAAAACAATTTGTTCAATACAAATCGTTGAGCTCCATACAGAGGACAATTCATATCTGATGTTCGTGGTAAGATAATTTTAAATAAGTAGGAAGAACCATAGTTTTTATTTAGCTGTTAGATAATCATAGTGTTCGTCTTGGAAATGGTAGCAAAAGTAAGTATATTCAAGTTATATATATAGTATGTGTTATTTGTTTAGTCTTGCAGATAGTATGGCGATAGTTTCTATAATTCTGATGTCAAAAAAAAAATAACAACTGAGTAAGTATATATTTAGTTTTTGAAAAGAAAAATTCAATCCTTCATATAGGTCTCTGATGATATTTTCAATTAACGTAAATATATATAAGAATTAAGATAGAAAAATAATCGAAGTCATTTTTTCTATAGCTGATGATCATCCAATTAAACATTATCTTCCACCACTTTCATTGACAAATACAGATGATTTATTTATTAAAGCAATAAGAAAAGATGAAGACTTTGGAAATATCCCTAGAATATAAATTTGTTATCTACCATTAGGTAATATAGTATTCTTTATTTTATTTTTAATGTTTAGTTCAACAATGACTTTTTTTTATATTTCATTAGACAAAGTCAAACCAATTGAATTAAATGAAGAAGCTAGTGTTGACACACAAAATGTATCAAATACTTGTCTTGCTCACTTTGAAAGTTTCAATAACGAGGTGATTTATTGGTTTTGTGCTCAAATTGGACGCGATAGATCAGTAAGTTTTGTTTTTTAACAGCTACTCATCGTTTACTTGAATGTCGTGCTGATGTATTATCTAATAGAGAACATCCGTCATCATCACTTTGGCTTATTATATCACGTACATACCAACATGTTTTACAAACAGAAGATGAAGCAAGTAAAATCACATATCGAACTGCTGTGATACCATGTAAGTTACTTCATAAACGTATAGCGAGAATATATATTCTCGTAAAATGTCCGGGTGGTTATTATTTGCACCTATATCACATTGCTGCTGATGGTCATAATATGTTTACTGTATCGGATCGTCTTCAAGACGTGGTAGGAAAAGTTCAAGTAAAATTATAATTCAGTGGATTATATTCAAAGTTTTACAGAATTCCTTATTTCAGTTTCACTAAAAACAAGTGAAATTTCTCGTTATAGATGAAACTAACCGGTATGTAAAAACGACACCGATAGTGTTGAACCTAATTTTGATTACGGTTTTTTTGTTTTTCTAAAGAATATTAGATACAGAATTGGAATTTGATATACGAAAATTAGAAAGTCTTGATTTATCATCACAAGAAGAACGTGTTCCATGGATATTTTTCGTAACATTTTCTAACCAATTACAGCAATTAGCAAAACATGTCCTTCGTGAAGATTATATTTTTTTCTATGAAAGTGCAAATGTCGATGTAGCACGTACGATAGAAGAAGTACCATTTACAAAGAAACAAAATCTGAACGTTATTTGATTTTGTTGAAACACAGCGATCAGCTGATACTATTGGTGCATTATTTTTACAAAAAAATCTCATAAGTGTAATAATCCATGAAAATCAAACACACCAA